TAGTTTTACTAGTATGACGGTGTGACTACTTCACTAGTATGACCGGTGACAGGTATACCCAGTTTGATAAAACTAGTCAAACTCGTCACACCCTTGAAGTGTGACGAGTATGACCACTATGGTAGAAACCAGTGTGACCAGTGTGACGGTGTGACGACTTTACTGGTATGACCATTGACGGGTGTACCTAGTTTAATATGACTAGTCAAACATGTCACACCCTTCAAGTACGACCAATGTGACGAGTATGACCATTACGATACTGATAGAGACAAAACTCTCATATGACTTGATTTCAAACCGAAAACCTAATTTTCCTTAACTGTAAAACTCGAATACTATAACTCATTCGACTAAGATCTTGTCTACCGTAAATATTTGTCCAAGTACACATATATCAAATTTTAAAAAAAAAACAATTAACTTTTTCGGTGATATATAATGAAAACTTTACTTGAAAATCTTCGCAAATAGAAGCCGAAAACGATGAAGACGAAACCATTTTGAAGTGAAGAGAAAAAATCGTACAAGAAATCGCCAATAAAATTGGCTGGAGAATGTCCGTTAGAGAAAAATCGTGAAGAAGAGAGGAAGAAGAAGCTGAACAGTTTTTTTTAACTTAATAATTTTTTATTTGACAACTACCCACTTTCTCTCCCTCTTTTGTCATCTTCCTTCAGGTTATTACACGTGTAATTTTTTAGAAGGGTAGGATTGTCTTTTTAACATTTTTCAATTTTTTTTTGAAACCCTAACTGTTCAAGGGTATGTCTTGAAGTCCATGTTACGTTTTAAAGGTATATTTGTATCTGAAAAAAAAACAAAAAAAAAAAAAAAAAAAAAAAAGACACGCTAAAGCAAACGATACACATCACACACACAAAAAGAAACGATCATCCAAAAAAATCTTAACAAGACAGAAAGAAAAGAATAGATAATACACAAAACTTGTCTCAACCTTACAGATTGATTGATTGATTGATACATAACCTCTCGGGTCTCGGCTATTGCCATGGACCATGGTTTTGCTCTCAGGGTTCTTGAAAAGGCACGGTATCCGTTCTTCCGTGGAGATTGAAGGCAAGCCGATATGGCCTACTCTGATCCCGGCATTGTGACCATCATATGCTGCTGACCCTGCAATATACCAACCAAACTTGCATCAAGAATTGCTTGATTAATACCATGAATAGATAAACTATGATGCTAGAAGTGTTTGAGCTCCTTATTTACGCCACAAGCACTGGAGGAAGATTGAAGGGAACTGCGATAAGGATAGAGGGAAATGGGAGAAGACTGCTGTTGGGACCAAGACATAATTCCCTGGACAATTTTCTTCCAGGAAAAGGGTGTTTTCTATGGAATAATCAGAAAATAAATAGGAGGTCATTGGTTTTCCTGCAATCCAAATGTCGATGCAAGTTAAGGTACAGGGTCAGGCACTAAGACTATGCTCCCAATGTATACTAGAGAAGGAGGAAGAAATGAGTCTGCTTTGACCAGCCATTCTATTGTTAATGACTTTATATGATGGATGTCCACCGATTTTCAAGTTTTGTCTTGTCCCAACTCCACCAACCAGGAAGATTTTATGATAAATGAAAAGAGATAGCACAATATATCTAATAAGAATCTCTACTACCTTTTCGGAGAATACACAAATTTTATGCGCAAATGAGACCATATAAAACAATTTTTGGCAAGAAATTTTGAATCTAGGGTTCAGTTCAATTGGAAATGATAGTGCTCTGTGGGAAGGATGAGCATCTCTACATCCACTTCAGTATGTGGATGTGTTGCATGATGGACGAGTACATGTGTATATGCGACTGGGTAATGTTGATGCAAAGTGTGAATGGTGAATGCATGTGCCTGAAATTGGGTACGAAGGAGCACTTCGGGGAGATGGGCATCTATATATTCAGTTGGGTATGTGGATGTGTGGGAAGATGCAACGTGCGAGTGCACGTATGCAATTGAGTACAAAGATACATCATTCGAAAGGTGGTTGAATATCTGAGCAAGCGATAGAGAGAGGAGAGAGAGACATTACTTGAGAGTTTCCATAAGCAAGACCTTGTGAGAAGGAGCCTTGGTGAGCAAACTGTAAGAATTGTTAAAGGTAAGAAAGGCAGAGACATCAGACTAACTCGACAAGTAAAGTAACATAAGAGAAGAAAATGCTCGACAATGTAATAGCCGGTTATCTACCTGAGCGCTTTGGGTTTGTTGGGCATCTTTCTTTGCATTTGCATCCCCGCCCTTTGCTGATCCCTTAGTGTCGCCCTACCAAACAAGATAATAAACTACATTCAGATGGAAAAGAGCATCATCAAAATAAAATACAGCTGATAATACTAGAAATTCATCAAGAATCATGACAAGGGTTTAACAATAAATATATAGAAAGGAAAGGAGAACCATTTACCTCCATCTGCTTGAATCCAACCCATACAGTAGAAAAAGGAAAGGGAGAGGAGAATAAAAACAGAACATTAGTGATCGAAATGCTGTAATTTCCTTGTTCTAGTAAGCACGATGTTCGTAGGTTCCACATAACCAGGTACAAGAACTGAAACCAAAACTTACCTCTCTATATCTCATCAGATACACCTTGAGGGGTTCAATGTAATCTTCAAACCCTAAAGTAGCCATTGCCCAGAGCAAATCATCTCCATTAATAGTCTTCCTTTTCTCTCGCTGACACTTATCACTGGCCCTGTTTACCAAAACGAGCACACATCATCTAACCTCGTTTCATTGCATCCACTTCTCCAATGTACGATTGTATGAGCCAAAAAGTGAATACATAACAAACGAGAAAACAGGAAAGGCATAATCTTTCCTTCAACCTCATAAAATGTTATCAAATGTTACCAATTACACTGTTGAACTAAATCACAGATAAAACTATAATAGATGTGAACATTGAAAATGTAACGATTCAATCCTCAGATAGGAAAATCTCATCATTTGCGCTCTAAAACGACAAAGAAAACATATTATTGAATGAAACAACTAAACAGAGAGCAACGCTGAGTCCAACAATAACAAGGGAAGAACGCATATACCCAAATAGAAGAAAAGGATTAAAGGGTTGGAGCCATACTCGCTGGTGATGAAGCTGATGAACTCAGAAACGCATTCCTGAACAGTATCCTTAGCGTCCTTAGAGATCTTGCCATTGGGAGGAAGCCCTCTCTTCATGATCCGGCTGATGTTAGCGATGGGAAGGAACCTGTCCTGCTCGCGGACGTTGGCCGACCTCGGGCTCTGGTCCCCACCACTCTCGTGGCTCCCGCCGGGACTCGCCCCCTTGCCCTGCGTCTCCGCCATCAGAAACCCTAGACCACAAGACCAAAACACAAACACATCACCACAACGAAACAACTCTGATCAGAGACGAATAGGGTTGCCAGAGACATAACACATCACAAACGGAAACTGAGAATCAAAGGACGAAACAGGGAACTCGAGGATCAGAGATGAAACGGGGAATCGGGAATTCGATCGAGAGGGAGAGGGAGAGAAAGATTGGGGGTGTATACCTGATGAATTTGAAAAAGGGCGGGAGGAAGAGAGAGAGATGGATTGATTGGAGGAGAAGAGGAGGAAGGAGATGAGAGAGAGAGGGAGAGATCGGACGCTGGAGAAGAGAGGAGAGAGGAGAACGACTGCGATGAGAGATTAGGTTTCTTTTATATATATATATATATATATCAACACCGTTGGTTTTACTCTTTTCAAGTTCTCTCTCTCTCCCCCTACAAGTACAAATTCAGAAGCGACGCGTGTTCGAGATTTCCTGAAACGTCGTCGTTTGGGATATAATATTTATCAGTAAAACGTAATATTTTCTTTTTGTTCTTTGGATTTATTATTGAAGTCCCAAAATGGCTACAACAATTATTTAAAATCAAACTGTTATTCAATATAATTGTAGCCATTTTAAGTTTTAACTAAATTAATTGAATCGAAACTGAATAAAAATAATTAATTATCTGAATGTAAAACAAATTTTAGAAGATATTAAACAAATTTGAATAGAGAGAGAATCGAAGTCCAGCTAAAAATTCTAATAGATATAATATTTTTTTCAAACAAAATAGATTCGAAATCTAAAATACCCATCTAAAGGCTACCATTATCGAATATTCGAATGACAACAATAAAGAATCTTTACCAAAAATATACAATAATAAAGAAACTAAGTTTTTAATAAATGGAAAAAAAAATCTTATCTACTTTAATATAATAACACTCTCATACAGTAAACTCACATAACTCCAAATCATGTAAGAGAATAAAAAATATCTTCGTATTTTAATTTAACAGTTCAAAAAATTAATCACTCAATTAGAAAATGATAAATAAAAAACAAAAACAAGAAGAAAAAAAAAAGGAAGAGTGGTTACAAGGATAAAAACAACATAGACATGAAATCAATAATCCATGGGACATGTTCTTCACTTTGTAAAAAACATTGATGGTCATTTTCTTGTTTTGGTTAGGTTATATTCGAATTGTACCTCGATTAAAACAAAATATAATGATTCAACTTTTATGCTAAAAAATCGATTTTGTTTTCTATTTCTGTTTAAATTCATTTTTATGGATAACAATCTTTATTTTTTTAAATCCATTATTTTTATTTGTTTTTTAATTTTAATTAATTTATCTAAAATATTAAAATAGTATATTTTTATATAAAAACAATTATTTCTTTTCTATATTAAATTCTTTGCAAATTCATCTCATTAATTTCTCTTCCATTTAATTTTTTGTGAAAATAGAAATGATTTTATGTATTTCTGGAATCAATATTTGTATAGTGTGAAAACTAAAATAAACCAAAAGATTAAACCGGATATCCCAATATGACCTACAGAAATCGAAACCGCAGCTCTGTATATATATATATAATGTGTGTGTGTGTGTGTATATATATAATTAATTTTATGTACTTAGTAAACGGAGCCATGGGTTCGCCGAGTACGAATGGTAAAATCATGCACATGCAAATGTTTGGTATTATTAAGTCATCTCACCAACCCACCTCTTCTTACAGCCATGCCACTTGGACCCCTTAATTCATCATTAGTTTCTATTTAGAGTATTAATTGTATTATTTAACTTATGCTACTCGCTTTACATCTTAATTATTATCCATAATTGCATCAATTTATATTATTTTCCCTAATATGTAAAAACATTTATAGCATTTATTGTTCTTAAATAGTTTTAGAATATGATTGGGTTTTCCATTTTAAGAATTTCCCACATATTAGTGCTGGTAAATATTGGGAGAAAAAAACTCAGGGTACGTCTCCAATAAACTATTCATTCATTTATTTATTTTATATTATAATACCCGACACAGTCTGAATAGTTAAAAATATTTCCATCAACATATATTTAAGCTTACTTTTGTATTTTAATTATATTAATATCTTCCCTAAAAATTATTGTACATCCGTTTCTCTCCATGATATATATAATAATTAGGATACCATATTACCATTTGTTGTAGATCATATTTATTTTTTGAAAAATGGAAAAACAAAATCAATTCCACTTTTGACTTCTTTAACCTTCTTTGTTTATCTATAAGATTTAACGATTTGTGTAATTCTCTAAACTTTTGTCCAAACTCCTTGAAACATTTATATAATTCTTTAAACTCCTTTATTCATCTATAAGATTTAACGATTTAATTTAATGAGAGAAAAAAACGTTAAAGATAAAAACGTACGTACATTTATTTCGAAACAATAATGTAACGCCTCCACAAAATCTTTATAAAAAAAAGTTAATTAACCATTTATATCAACGAAGATTCGAGCTAATCTTCTCAAACGACCATTTAGATAATATCAAACTTTGTCCAAAATGTTTAGTTTTGGTTTTGACCGTGATTTTATTACACGTGTCGATGTGAATTGAGGAATCTCCAACTTGTTGACGATGTATTTGACACGTGGCAATTCTCAGGTCAAATTCCACGCGTTATTTTTTTCTTCAATTTTATAATTTAATTATTGCTCTTTTACATATTAATTAACCTCGACAATGAAAGAATTGGGGTTATAATTACGTAAATGCCACCACCACCATTGCTTTTAATTTGGGGGGTCATGAAAATAGCGTGTTGCCTTCACATACAGTGAACAATAGATTACCATCGATGCTTGGCAAGCCACGTCACACCATTTGTCTTCCGCAAATTCGTTACTTATTTCGATTTTATAAAAAAAAAAAAAGAATCGTATAATTAAATTATTTTTCGGTCATTTTTATATTCAAATAAAAGAATCATGATATCCACTCCAAATAGAAATGATACCATATCGTTATCACACACGTAGATTAAATACTTATTATATTATTTTGGTTATATTCAAGAATGCTCCAAAAAAATAATAATGTGTAGCAACTGCAAATACATTGCTTAAATAACATTTTTAAAAAAAATAGAAAAAGGGAGATAAGTGTTTTGGTGGGGGCTTTTAATTGACCCCTACATTGTACACCAACCGCGAAAAATGTCGTCAGCCCCCCAGGAGCGACCAAGACGACGATGAAATCTCTCTCTCTCTCTCTCTCTCTCTCTCTCTCTCTTTTGAGACGCAAACCAAATCCACGATTTTCAATCTCCACCGTTGACTCTCCACATTGAAATCCAACGGTCCATATTAACTCTCAACAAACCCCCTTTTTTTGTTATTTTTGAATTAATTAATTATTATTTATTTTTCATTGGAGAGTTTACGTTGAAAATAAGAGTCCCCTTTGTTCTTACCTACCAACAAACACTCAAACACACACCTCTTCCTCCCATCTTATTTAAACCACTCTTCTCTCTTCTCTTCTTCCTCAGGAGCAAAAATTCCACCAGCAAATTCGAAATCTCCCCATCCAACAAACCCTAGATCTCTCTCTCTCTCCCCGAGCTTTGAATTTAGCATCAATGGAGGTCGTGGCATCGCAGATCAACGGACACCAGAACAACGGCTACGCCATCAACGGCGGAGGTCTCGAGAAGCTCTGCGAAACTCCGGCGACGGCGGATCCTTTGAACTGGGGAGCGGCGGCGGAGCAGATGAAGGGCAGCCATTTGGAGGAGGTGAAGAGGATGGTGGAGGAGTACCGGAGGCCGGTAGTGAGGCTCGGCGGAGAGACGCTGACGATCGGTCAGGTCGCGGCGATCTCCGCCGCCGGGAACGGCGTGAGGGTGGAGCTGTCGGAGGACGCGAGGGAAGGCGTGAAGGCGAGCAGCGATTGGGTGATGGAAAGCATGAACAAAGGTACTGACAGTTATGGCGTCACCACTGGCTTCGGCGCTACTTCTCATCGGAGGACCAAAAATGGCGTCGCCCTCCAAAAGGAGCTCATCAGGTAACGTACAGGAAGATTATAACCTTAAACGTATTATACAATTAATCCGTAGATTCATAATCAGATTACATGAAATTTGTGGGAAATTTGTTTAGTTGCAGTTGAGATTCACGACATGAAATCGTCTGATACTTCTCTTAGAAAATTAATGGTGAAAGAAATTAGTGTGGTAATCATTTCCATGTTTAGTCATAATCAGCGTGGGAGTATAATTTAATCATACAATTCACGGGGACACGAAGTTTAAGGCTCGTTATAATTACGTTGCATGGAGAAACAAATCCAAACCGGGTCGGGTCGGGTTTAGACCCGCCTACTCGTTTTTTAATCAACTCATTTTAAATTAAATTGGATATCCTACGTGTCATGTCCGTACAGATTCCTGAACGCCGGAATATTCGGATCCGCGACGGAGAAGAGCCACACACTCCCTAAGTCCGCCACGAGAGCCGCCATGCTTGTACGGATCAATACTCTCCTTCAAGGATACTCAGGAATCCGATTCGAGATCCTCGAAGCCATTACCAGTCTCCTCAACACCAACATCGCTCCTTGTCTCCCTCTCCGCGGCACCATCACCGCCTCCGGCGATCTGGTCCCTCTCTCCTATATCGCCGGTCTACTCACCGGCCGACCGAATTCCAGAGCCACTGGTCCCAACGGCGAAACCCTAACCGCGGAGGAGGCCTTTAAATCCGCCGGAATCACCTCCGGTTTCTTCGATCTCCAGCCGAAGGAAGGTCTCGCGCTCGTCAATGGCACTGCCGTCGGATCTGGCTTGGCGTCGATGGTGTTGTTCGAAGCGAATACTTTAGCCGTTCTGGCGGAGGTTTTGTCGGCGATCTTCGCCGAGGTGATGACCGGAAAACCAGAATTCACCGATCACCTGACGCATAAGCTGAAGCATCATCCTGGTCAGATCGAAGCGGCGGCGATCATGGAGCATATTCTCGACGGGAGCTCGTACATGAAGCTTGCCCAGAAGATTCACGAGATGGATCCATTGCAGAAGCCGAAACAGGACCGTTACGCTCTCCGTACGTCTCCTCAATGGCTCGGACCTCAGATCGAGGTGATTCGTCAGGCGACGAAATCGATCGAGCGAGAGATCAACTCCGTCAACGACAATCCATTGATCGATGTCTCGAGGAACAAGGCTCTCCACGGAGGAAACTTCCAGGGAACACCCATCGGAGTTTCCATGGACAACACACGTCTCGCCATTGCTGCAATCGGGAAGCTCATGTTCGCGCAATTCTCCGAGCTCGTCAACGACTTCTACAATAACGGACTCCCATCAAATCTCACCGCCGGGAGAAACCCTAGCTTGGATTACGGATTCAAAGGCGCGGAAATCGCCATGGCTTCATACTGCTCCGAGCTTCAATACCTGGCGAACCCAGTGACCAGCCATGTCCAATCCGCAGAGCAACACAACCAAGACGTGAACTCTCTCGGACTGATCTCATCCCGGAAAACCGCGGAAGCCATGGAGATCCTGAAGCTAATGTCCACAACATTCCTCGTCGCCTTATGCCAAGCTGTGGATTTGAGGCACTTGGAAGAGAATCTGAAGCAAACCGTAAAGAACACGGTATCTCAAGTGGCCAAGAAGGTGTTAACCACCGGGATCAACGGCGAACTCCATCCATCCCGATTCTGCGAGAAGGATCTACTCAAGCTCGTGGATAGAGAACACGTCTTCTCCTACGCCGACGATCCCTGCAACTCGACATACCCTCTGATCCAAAAACTCCGACACATCCTTGTCGATCACGCATTATCCAACGGCGAGAACGAGCAAAACTCGGCGACTTCTATCTTCCACAAGATCGGAGCTTTCGAGGAAGAGCTGAAAAGGGTATTGCCGAAGGAGGTGGATGCCATTAGAGCAGCGTACGAGAACGGGAAGACGATGATGATTCCGAACAGGATCAAGGAATGCAGATCGTATCCGTTGTATAGATTCGCTAGGGAAGAGCTGGGGACTGAGTTGCTCACCGGAGAGAAAGTCCGGTCGCCCGGAGAAGAATTCGACAAGGTTTTCACTGCGATTTGTGAAGGGAAGATCATCGATCCGATGATGGAATGTCTCAAGGAATGGAACGGAGCTCCAATTCCTATTTGAAGATTTCTTGTGTGTTTTTTAAGGTTTGTTTTTTTTTTCCGTTGATTGTTCTTTATAACTGAACAACTCTTTTTGTGATGATATGTATAATTGTGTGTAATGGTTAGTATTTAAGGTTGGAAAAGTAAGTTTTCTTGTTTTAAATGTGAAAAATATGATCTTTGCTAATGTGATCATGTTTTGAAGGGAAATTTCTCAACCTTGTTTGTATTAAATCTAAAATTACCAAAAAAAAAATATGAACTTTAAAATTATCAGAAATATACAAGATTTTTTACACTCAATTACATAACAAAGTTATAAGGAGTTTCAGAAAGAAAAAAAAAACTGTACATTTGATATTGTTTTTTGTTTGACACACACACACACATATATATATATATATATATATATATTTTATTTTTGTAAATTTTTAGGTATATTTGTTTGAGAGTATTTATAAAAATTAATCATTTTGATTATAAAACGAAAAAAAATCATATGTTTTCTTAAAAAAATTTAAGATTTATGTATTACCCTTGAAATTGGTAATAATTTTTCTTTTAAAATAAAATAGTTTACTACTTTACAGAACGTAAATATCTGTGTAAATATTGGACATTTATAAGCAAATGCTTTGGATTTTTTCTAATTAGTTTAATTTGTGAGTTTTGGATTACTCATTTTGTAAATTCTCTACGAAATTTTCAAATGATGGAAAATAAAATTTGTACTCTGCAGATATAAGCATAAATGATGTAAGAAATTAATTTAATGGATCTCTCACACATCAAAAAGTAGATTTATGGTTATTATTATTATTATCATTAAATAATGACAGCGAAGCAAAAAAGCAGACTTGAAGGCCAATTTCAAAGCCCATAAAAGGCCCAACCGAACTCTCTACAAACAAACGCGTCTCTTACTTTCAGCGCGTGGAGTGCAATCGCCTTCGCCTTCGCCTCCTTCACAAGCCCAATCCAAGCCTGTCTCTCCGTCCCCCCTCTCGATCTACACAGAATCCGCCATGAACGATCACCATCACGATCATCACCACGCACGTCTGAGCCGAATCCGGAAGACGACGGAGGTCCTTCGAGAAACGGCTTCGTCCTTTTCCTCCCACCCTCTGACCTTCTTCTTCCTCACGTTCCTCCTCTTCTCTTTTCGCTCCGTTATCGATCGCTGCTCCCTCCTCCTCATCTCCTTCATCGACCGTGACCCTTCCCTCCACTCCCTCCTCTCTCGCCTTCCTCTTCACCACCCTCCCCACGCGCACCCCACGCGCCTCCCTCGCCGTCCCCCTTTCCTCCACCTCACCCGCGTCGGCACCCTCGACGATGACTTCTTCTCCACCGACGATGACGACCGGCGATCCCTCCACGGCCTCCCTTTCCGTGCTCCGGTCAATGGCACCTCCGTTATTCTCTCCGGGTTCGAGGGCATTTCTGGGTTTTCGAACCCCATCGCCGACAACGGCCTCTTCCTCCCTCAGATCGTCCGACCCGGCATCGTTCTCCGGCCATCGTCTTCGGTGGACGATCACGGAGATGAGAAGGAAACGAAGTACGATGAATCTGAGCACGATCGCGACAACAACGAAGAGTTTCGCGGCGAGAAGGACGAGAAGGAATTCTCGAGTATAGTAGATCTGAGGCTTTTTATTAGGGGGTTTGAGCTGGGTCGCCGCGAAACGGCGGCTCTGTTCTTCCTGGGGAGTTTCCTCTCCGCTGCTTATGGATGGGTGATTCTAGGGTTCACGACCGTGTACTCATTGGTCCTAGCGATTGTTTTCGTCACTGTGATCAATGACTTTGTTGGGAGATCTCCTTCCTTCTTTAGGGTTGTGTGGACTGGTTCAAGATTAGGGTTTAAGAGGGTTACAGGATTCATTTTGATGAGATGGGCAGTGAGAGATGCGTTCACACAGCTTCTGGGTTTGTGGTATTTCGGAGAAGTCGAGGATCAGTTCTCATTTTTTAGGCTCTTTGTGAGGCTAAAGTTGATGCCTTTCACTGTTATGCCCCCATGGATTCGGGGTTACGAGAAAGAGATATCTGGCTTCTTGTTCGCTTGGTTCCTGCTTGATGCGCTCATTGGTTTGGTATTAGCCGTTGATGCTTATGTTGCCATTGTTGATTCGAGGAGGAGGGGGAGGGAAATAGTGAAGGAGGGTCTGTATTTGATTTCCCTCTTGATGAATCAGGCGGTGCAGCTAAAGTGTCTTGAGGCTATTCTCTGCGGGTCTTTTTTCAAATGGGTTCTGATTCGTTTCCTTGGCAGAGGCTTTGCTGCTGTTTTCCAGTCGGCCACAGAGGTTTACTTCATGGTGGCTTGGTTAGTGTTCTACTTAGCAGCTCGGAGCAAAAATGCCCATATGGAAGGTAGAAGGTTTGGGAGAAGAGAATTGGAAGGTTTGATTGATGGGTTGAGATGATATCCGTCGTCTTGTAGGATAAGTTTTTCGGCTTCAAAGGATTAAACCACCTTACCTTGGACACTGAAGTAACGGCAATATCTCAAGTGCTATACGTTTATCATGCGCTGAAGTTCCCTCGGTTTAGCACTGCCTTGGATTGGTATGATCGCTACAATTTGTTGTATGTACCGCCACACCCACTTGTGAGCTATGGAAAGGACAATAAAATACTTCATCTGTGTAGTGTGTATACTCATTGCGAGAATTTCCCTGTGTGTATATCTCTTGCTGCAGTTGTTGGACATAAAAAAATCGATCGAGTGACCTGTCTTTGATATGGGAATTGATGTTAGATCAGGGCTTCTGATGTGCTTCTCGGCGTCAAAGTGTACTTAGCTGTGCCCCCTTTTTGTTCAAACATTTTGATCTTTTTATTTGAAGTTTGCATTTGTACTAATCGGCTTATGCGGTCTGTGGATAGAGCAAAAGTGCATTTGTTCCTTGCTCTGTGGTTATGATTTGGGATCATATCTCGATTTTGCAAGCGTATTGAAGCTCTTAGTTTTTGTTCCAGATTAATGTACTTTGTTATGTCATGGCCTTTCACTAGTTCCATTTCCTATCTCCTTTTTGGCTTGCCATTGTACTCCTTGACATTTACAACAATGATCACCTTGTCCTGCAGTTTGTTGTTTTCAGTCTGGTGATGACAGGATGAAGTTGTGATATAGCTCTGCCCTCTTCGAACAGATTGACAGAGTCTTAGAGGTTTCTATAGACAAAACCCTCGAAGTTGTATGGAGTTTCATATCTTGCCTGCAGGAATTCTTCCTCTGTCAGCAGCTGTGTCAGTGTCAGATAGGTTTCAAGTCATTACAATTATTTACTTGAGACATTTCTGGTCGGAAGTTTCATATCTGGTTCAGTTGTTCTCCTGATAAGTGTGGAAAGGTTGTGTATTTCCGACGGTGAAAAACAATCTTTGTCATATCGAGTTTTGCATATTATGGTATTACCTGTTATCTTGGTCATTTTTCGAGCTTTGATCACTTTGAGTTTTAGATTTTGTATGCCTGAGAAATGCGATGGAGATTTCAACGCGGTTATTGCTTCTCTAGCATCTAATCACATTTTCTTTGATGAATAAACGTTTCTACACAAAAAATTTCACTGAAGTGTACAGCATCAGGTCAGCATTAACATTCTCTGGGAACTTAAGAGCTGGATGAATCAATAGAATTTCTTGAATTCTCTACTGAAGAACCTTTCCCTGCAGGCACGTCATGCAGATCCTCTGATGCTGGCAAGCACAAATGCAACGAACAACATCGAGAAAGGTGGTTTCATTGCATGGAATCCATAGTTTGGAGTTGGCTGTGAAGTTGTAAACATCCCGAGCTTGATCCAGCAATGCCATGAAGAGCGGGTGTTTAAGCAAGGTGATCTTGATCACGAATCTCTTGTGATTCTCACCCACATACACAACCAAGTGACCCTTTGGCACGTCTTTTGGAACCATCCCGTCTTCCTTCTTGAATGGCCAACGAACCCTCTTGCAGCAATTCCCGCAGGATGTACAAGGTACAACGACTTTGCCCTTCATCATTTTCAACTTGTTTTCACACGCTTTTGCAAACTTGCTCTTCATTTGGGTAGGAGGGACGGGAATGACAACAAGGTTAGAGTTAGAGAGGGAGAGAGAGTTTTGCAATGAAAGAATAAGATGTCTGTGGATGAAAGTACAATAGTGCAGTACATGTATATATATCATATATAGATATAGGTGTGGGAATAGTAATACATGAATTCAAGTTCCGCAGCGTTCATTAATTGTTTGAAATGACTTGTTAGCCAAAGGGTAGAGATGGGCATTTTTTTTTTAGATGAATATAACACGAGGCATTTGGGTGTGAATAAATTACGTTTCTTTTGCTCACTCGTGCGGCTCCGTTACATTTTCTGCATGGAATAGCGTCTGGATACGAAGCTGTATGAACATTATTATAGATGCAAAGGCCCCACAAGAAGATCAAAGTGAAAAAAAAGATAAGATTGTTAAGATATGAAGGAGAGGAATGGGGATGGGTCTCAATCTTCTTCTGTCTAAGGTGTGAACCCTGTTTATGATTTTCGGATTGATATTCTAAAATATACTTTTGATTTTGATCTGCCAGAAGAAAAAAAAAACCTTGCGTCCAAAACTTGTCCATTCTAGATTCCAGTTATGATTTTTTTTACCATGAAAATCCCTGCTCATGTGCATTTAGATTCCAACCTTGAAACTTGTGGGAATTGGTATAGTCCTTTGTAGTATTACAGAAGAGAAAGATCTTCTTGCTTTTCTTCCGAGGGCGAGCTCTACGTTTAGAGTTATGGCCAGAGAGATTGTGGTTCACAAGATTCAGATGGAGATGGTGAAACCCTTTTTGGTATCATCGTCATCTCTTGCCAAGAGGGTTTTAATGAAAATGAACTGTCATTGGGGCACAGAGAAATGGATCTCTTGAGTTCATCCCCCATGGGCACAGCAGCATGTATACATGTGTTTGATGATGATGATGGTGATGGTGATGATGATCTACATCACACAAATGTCTGTCTCTCTCTCTTACAAAACAGACAGACACATCACCAGGCTTGAAGGGTTTTTATGTTTGTGTTAATTTTTGTCAGATAAAGACTGATTTTGCCATTCCGAGTTAGGCTGGATTTTCTTCTCTGCCCTCAATTTATTGTGCCCATGTGGAGTTTTTTTTTATGTTACTTGTCTTCCCTTTTTTCCGGAAAAAAAATTACATTACCATCCATGAATATATTTAGATTGCTCTTATCCAAAACCATATGTATAAATAATATCTATTTACATGTTAATTAAATTTGTTCTAATTCATCCTTTACAAAGAAAATCGAGTTAATTTAAATGACAATGAGTTTAATTTTATTAGTGTCGCGTCCTCCCTAATTTCACACAACATACCAAATGCCCAAAAGCCCAAAACTGTTCATCTAGGTCTTGATAAAAGTCACAAGCAGGAGCTAACATTTGAAGTATATCATATTTTTTTTATTAAATCTAAAAGACATAACTTTCTTATTCTAAAATTGCAAATTTAAAATCTCGTAATATTTTATTGTATTTATATCAAAATTAAGGAAATATGTTAGATTTAATTTTTTCTTTTAAAATATAAATTTTAATGTTACATTGGATTCCGTTTGATTGGGATTTTCATAATGCTTATTTTTTTAATTTTTTTTTCATATGATTTTTATGTCCTCTTGTTTATAAAAACATAAATCGAATTAAATTTAATTATTATTTCATTTTATTTTGCTGGTGATCTTTTTATATGAAACATAAAATTCTAAAAATAAAGAAAGAATAGAAAATTTTATTTCGGTCCAAACAATTTTGACTTTTTTTTTGTGGTGTAGAAAAAGGAGCAGCCCACAGGCCATCCCTTTGTTTGATATTCCACAATGATTTCATTTAGATCTTTCCATGTGTGTTCCCTCAGTCAGCTCTTAGTTGGCATCTTCTTTTTTTTTTTCATTCTTCATTTTATTTTTTGTTTTAAATTTGTTATTACGTGTGTTCAAATCCTAAATAAAAAAAAATCTTGAAATTATTATATGTGTTTGTCAAATGGGTAACTCCCCATCTATTTACATACATCTGAAATATAAAGCGAATTGGCATCTATTTATATATATATATATATATATCACAATTAAGTTTAATACGTACCAAGTTTAATATAATCTAACGGAAGGAACACTAAAATGAGAGATTAAATATAAACAAATACATTATTAATAGAATAAAGTTTTGTCAAACTCTTTTGTAATATAGAAATATAAAGATAAGTATTACGTAACATGGGTTTTTAATTCATTAAAAAAAATCTTAAATTCATCCAAATTCGGTTTATACTATTTTCTCTTCCACTGTTTTTACGCGGAAAATAAGACATATTAATACAAATATCAAAATCGATTAACATATTATTAAAATATGTTAAAACAGAACCCCGAGTTTTATTTGAATGAATATATGATCGAGAACAGAAGTTTTTTTTATTATCTAAAGAAAATAAAATACATAAATAGGAAAAGAAAACTCATAAATACATTTATTTGGATAAATTTAGAGAAAGAAAAATATTAATCTATTTGAAATAAGCACTTACGCAAGCCGGCAAGCGCGTGGGTAAGGAAAGACGAAGGTTGCTGCACAAGCACAAGCACGGCGTTGATTTCTCTTCTTCTGCTCTGCTGTGTGTTAGTTTGGGCCCAAAATGGGCCGTTGATGGACGTTTGCGAAAGCCCATTGGATCAGATAAAGCATTAGAGCTCGGGGGAAAAACATTAACAATTCCATACAATAAAAAGCAAGTTTTATCTAAGTTTGAGGGGAAATAATTGTTTTTAAAAACTGGTATTTTCCATATATTAACGTGTGATGATTTTAAGGATTTTGAATAGCTCATTATATAATTCGAAATTTCTATAATAATAATAATAATAAGAGCATAGACCATTACGGATTATGTGCTCGTGGAATGAGATTATTTAGAGAGAGAGAGAGATGTGTTTTAATTCAATTGGACAAGAAAAGCATACACGGTTTAATAATGGGGACTGAGGTCGATGTTTTTTATAACTTTAATTTGTTGAAAATTGCAAGTCAGAAACTTTAATTTACATTATGGTTTTGGTTAGGGGAATGCAAATGAAGCTTCTAGCGACGATATTATTAAAGCTACTTTATTTTACTGATTTTAATAAACAATAACATTTTGAATTAAAAATTTTAGAATTCCGTTTCTCTTTCATATTTGTAGAATTTGAATACTGAAATTCGATACATGGATACATATACGATCCCAAAACTAAGAGGTAGTTTCTACTTTGGATTAAAAATTCTAAAATCATATTCGTGATTGACCAAAAATATTTTGATCACGTAAAATCGTAAAAACTGAAATCGAATCCGATCTAAACCCGAACATGAATTATCAGAATATCTAATTACCCCAAAATCAATAATGTTGCCTACCCCCTAATCATGCTCACACAAAAAAGGTGAATAATATTATAACATGGTAAAAAAAAGCCGTTGTGGGATTTCCCTATTCGGGCAACTAATTTCTCCTTTTTGCAATTTTTTTAATTATTTTTTTTTCACACCCAAGGGGAAGATATTGGTTGCAATCATATAATGATCTCAATTCCCACTCTTCACTCTTCTTATTAAAAGAGCACAACACCAACAAGGAACAAGGAACAAGGAACAAGATGCAATGCAAGTTCAGACAAAGATCTTGTTGGTTTTGCTTGTGGTGAGTCACTGCTGCTCGGCTGAGGGAGGAGGGAGGAGAGGTATTGGTAGTGTCAGTGTGGGAGGGGTTTACGGGCAAGAGCTGAGGCATCAACTTCAAAAGGGCAAATCCGTCGAGGCGAAAACAACAACGACGGATGGTTACCCGGAGAGACGGGTCGTAGACAACCACCACAACATCCCTAGACAAAACTACGACAACAACTGGGGAAGCAGAGGGGACGACGGCAACGGCTAGTTTCACCAAGAAACACCACCAAGAACAATAGAATGCAAAAGTCTAAATAACGTAACTAAGGGAAACACTATGATGATGGGTTAATGTTAATGTGTGCGTTCTTGGTTTTGGTTTTAAAGGTCTGGGCTTTTCGGTGATGTATCCTGTAAGCATATGCTGCATGGAGAAGAAAAGGGTGTATGTATATATGCATGCATATGCGTGATGAAATGCTATTGTACATTGGAACTAATCAAGAAATGAAAACATGACAAAGGTTTTATCCAAACGGGAAAGGAGAGGAAAGGAAAGGAACCTTGTTTCGATTTGAAGTCCGTCTTGTTTCACAGAAGAAGTAGAGAGCTGGTTAATGTATTTGGGTGTCCTAACAAAGGGAAAGTGAAAACTTCCGAAAGAGAACAAAAAAAAAAAAATTACCCTTAAAATGCAAACGTTAGTACCTTTTTTACAGCTGCTTTTGCTTTACTCCGTTGAAGAGTCGCTTCCTTGGTGTATATATATATATATCAACATCTCTTCTTCTTCTTCTTTTTCTTCTTCCTCGACTTGGTTACTGTTCGAGCATCGACAGAGGGCTGAGCTTGAGAACCGTCACTGACGAAAGGCGAAGACTTTGAATAGGGATATGGATGGAGGGTGGCAAGCTCACGGATACGGTGTAGAATATGCTTCGGGACAGGACGGGCATGGCTCTTTGATTCTTCTTCAACCTGAAACCCGTTCTCTTTTTTGTTTGTTTATGCTTATGTTTCGAAAAATCATTACCAAATCGAAATATTTGTCCAAAATCGACACTCATAAGTACAGGATCATGGACCATGTTTTCGATAAAAGATCAAGGTTATGGAACCGGGTGAAAGTATAACAGAAGAAATCAGAGCTAACCTCTCCGTTGTTACGCTTGATAGCATAACTAGCTCTGAGAAGATTACGCCATTTGTCCTATACATAAAATGAGACATGTAGATGAGAGACAGCAGAAGAACAAGAACGAGAGTTGAAACGGTATAAAAATACCCGGAGATCGATAGGTGTACGGTGAGAAGCAGATTGAAAGAAGAGGTTCTTTATATTTGTCCACCTTCCCACACCAAACTCAGAAATACCGTCAACCAATTTGACAACCTCGGAGAGTGTCCACATCCTCTGATGTTTTCTCCTGTCACATGTGCTTTTCGAGGTTTCCGACAAAGAAAACTCGTCCTCTTCGCTCTCAGATGTTGTAACTTCATTATCAGATCGGGTGTTCTGCTGAAACGGAAAAATATGAATGATTAAGATATCACATGAAGGGGTACAATAATTTAAAGAGATAGGTACCTGTTTAGGGTGACATTTGTTTAGAATTCCTTTCCGAGGCCGGAGGTCATATGATGGAGGAGAAATGGTTCTACCAAGAGAATCCGACCTACAAATTTAACTCGATTGCTTCACTACAAGAAATATCATATCAACATCTGATGTTCAAGAGATTATAAGTGGGAATAAACATTTGTCCATTCATCAGATATCTTGACCACACCTTCGAGTAGCATTACACTTCTTCTGATCTCTGCCAAGTTTGGCTTGGGAGGCAATGAAAGTGGCAAGAGGTTTTTTGTCGTCTTCTGACTCGCATAGACTCTGGCAATCATTTGAAATGGAGCCTAAAATGCCATTGAATGGTTCTTCATAGACAACCTTGTCACAGGATACATTCTGAGCCTCGGGTTCTCGAACAGTTTCTTTCAGGGACGTTGACAGCCCAATGCTTCCACTAATCCCGGGAGAACGGGATTCTGAACTTGAGTTTGGAGCAACATAAAGGTCATTATCAAATTCAGAAACCTTCACTGTCCCCTCAGTGTCTGCAAGCGAATTGTTGAGATCAACCATTGTATCAAATATTTGTCCAGATGTGAGTATCAACTAAAACAGATAACCAATGCAACAATGAAATGATAGAACTCTGTAGCTTCAACAAGAAAGGGATGGTCACCGATAGGAAATGGATCTTGAGATTCGTAGATATGTTCCACTTCATCAACCTCATCCAAGAACCCATTGAAAATCTACCCAACAAGCAAACAAATACAATCTCATTTTTACAAATGGATAACCAATAAGCACGTAGAGAAGAGTAAAGACACAACACTAGAGTGGGATTAAAAAAAATGACGCTATAAGAAATGTATGAGAAAAAGTGCACATACATCAAGCTTTAAACCTGCTTCCTCCTCTAGAGCACTATAAGAGTCCAGTCCACCTTAGCAAAATGGAAGATAAACTGGCATTAACCAGATTTGCATATAAACTAAAATGGCAATATAAACAAGTGTATGAGCAAAAAATGCGTTCATTTGCTCAACAACCTATCTAAAACCCAATATACAAAGACACTAACAGTTGGGTAAATCCTTTACAGATCGAAATTCTATAAGAACGTCTGGAATGTAAAAAATATATCTTCATAGCCATTATGCAATTGCTTTTCTAAACAAACAAGGTGTTTAGTTAGAAGAATCTGGTAAGAACCTTGAATGACAGCCTAGAATGAACTTATGTGTCTAGCTGTCTGTCTAAGGCCACATCACCCTCTAAGGAGGTTCCCTTTTTCCAATATAGCACATACACATACACAGGACAACAGAAAAATCAGGCTATTTCATCAAGTGATAAACAAAAGTGGCTAAAATATTACCATAATTTGGCCAAATCTCAAAGTCAAATCCAAGGCAAACTTCCTCCATCTTAAAACCGCTCCCATTATTCTCCTTACCAAGTCCTAAGAAACCGTCCACTGAGTCATTCTCATGTTTAGGATCCATGAGAAAATGCAACCCGTCGATCGTTTTGTCCTCGCTCGCATGGCCAACATTGTCATCACCCTTGAGAGAAAGAAAAAGCGATCAGCAAAAATCAACCAAATTACAGAATCTGTTTATTCAAACTTACAAAGTTAAACAATGGAATACTAATGCAGGATATGCTCTAACCTTCTGAAACTCCCGGCCTATAGAAGTTTCAGGAAAATCGGGTAACCAGTCCATTCTGAAAGGTCCCTTCAAGTCCAGTCCATATTCACAGCCAAACACTTCTCTTCACCTGCCAAAGACAATACGCAAGCACATCAAGAATATGCCATTCTGCCAATAAACAATGTAATGACAGATTCACAAATCACGAAAACGTGTGAAACTCAACATGGATTCCACATTATATTCCAAAGCTATTGACCTTTCTCCAATTCCACAACTGAGCTGTTTAAGCAACCAATCCAAATAGGCCAAATCACAAGGAACGGCCTTTCACACTTTTGCAATCATTACACTCCTAAATCACAATAACCCACCATACTAATGTAGTGAGAAACATGAATCTAACAACTACCAACCACCACAGAACATACATTCTGGGCAAGCAACTCAGGTCTTAGAACTAAATGACAGAAAATATCTGTCCGGTTAATCCCATATGAATGAAGTAGAAAGATACAAAACTTTCAGTTACATTAGCGTTACAACATAATATAATCACAAAGAGAGAGAGAGAGAGTGAGAGAGAGAAATCAGAAGAAAACAAAAAGAGAATACAATACGTATCAAGTGGGCCAGATAAACAGCTGTTAAACAATAAGCACACAAATGAAGAGGAAAACAAATAAACTTTTTTCCAGGAAAAGAAACCTATCGTTGCATTGCTTGCTTATCCTCCTTTCAAACAACGCCTGGGAACGGACAAACCGAGGAAACAAAAATTTCCCTTTCCTCTAAAATTTTCTCGGCAGCCAAGCAGACACCCGAGGAGGAAAAAAGCAACAAATAAATCGGACTCCAGTAAGATCACTACACATTCCGATCTCTCTCTCAGCCTCAAACCAGAATCAAGGTGACAACCGGGAGGAAACAAAAAAAAAAAGCTTACCAACAGTGGATAATGGAGAATCTAGATAGATAGAGTTTGACCTGTGCAGAGAAAATGCAATGTCAGAGAAATTCTGGGAAAATGTTGGAGAGGAGAGAGAGAGAAACAGCCAAACAGACGACACGAGAAGAGCATAAGAATTACGAAGAACTGTTGGACTGGATGCTTTGAAATTTTTTTTTATAGTCGCCGGATTCCAAATGCTTATTATATTCAAATGACGGAAGTTTTCTTCGCGTGTAGTATAGCGTGCGTTTCATGTCCGCAACCACGAATCACGACACGTGGCCTGCATGAACACGTACGGCGCAGAGATGAGGTTACGGAAAAGTTGCGATTCTCTTTAACGCCGTTATGACAACCGTTAAATTTGGATCAACCGGCCGTTAAGTTCGCAGAGACAGAAAACGGGCTTCGGCCCAGGACGCTTGCCGTTTTCATTTTCTGGAAAAGGAAACCTTAGCGTTCTACAGCATTCAAAGCTAAAACTGGCCACTGTTTTCAGTTTCTCCAAAAGCACTCCTTGCCGTTTTTTTGTGAATACCCAGAACATTATCAGCCTTGTGATCCACCGGGAGCCACCAAGCCCCGGATCTTGACGTCATAGTAAACTTCTTCAACCCTCTTAAGATCATATTTCATGCCTGTTACAATGAAAAAGGAATGATCTTTATCACAATTCTTGAACCCGAAAGCGGATTTGAGTTAAACGAGCGAGAGATGAATCGGTTACTGTCAAACTTCTTGCGGAGGAAATCGTTCCTCAAATTCAGCATTCGGAACGCTGCATGAAGATCTGTCAGGAAATTTAACACCTTTCTCGGGCAATCATAGTCTCCTGCCGTCGCTCGGTTGACCACGTACCTCGGCTGCCAAAAAATAAAACCCGAACAACTTTTGTGATCTTGCATGAAACACATTGTCCATATCGCTATCTTCGGTTACAAAAGTCCGGATTTTTCAGGTCTCTGTTGTTTCAACGCGTCTAATCAAATTTTTAGGATGCAAGGAAGATGTGAATGATTTAGAATGAATAAAGAAAACGGAGAATAGAACTTACCATATCATTTGACATGAAACAAACTCCTGCAAAGTATAAATAAACTCAAGAACAGGAAATGAAGTAAATGCTTGATTTCATAAAACATAATCTAACATTCTATATTTAGCTCTACATAACCTGCCTTCTAAGGGACTTATGTTGATTGGTTTGGTCTTTAGAGTCAAAAATCAGTTAAGTATTTGGTTTTGCAAGCATAAATTACTTTGAATCACAGTAAAACCGGCAATGGAATTATCGATCCAGATGTAACCTCGCACGGAAAATAATATTTTTCCCATAAAACTTACCGATGAGATAATCTTCGGTGTCCAAACCAAACTCTGAACTGTTCACTGAAACCCAAAAGAACACGATGAGAAGAACGAAAGATGAATGATTTGACCTAGATGTGCTACACTTGTTTTAACCAAGAAAGAAAAGAAACATAAAGAATTTAGTTAGGCCGAAGATATCGAGATTAACCACCACTTGGGGGAAATTTTCATTCTATTACGAAGCGAGTAAACCAATCTACCATTTTTAACATTAAGAGAGTGAATGACTGGATTTGGAGCAAGAATGCATCAAGATCAGACCCTTGTAAAACTTTACAGTAAACTAAATGACAAATCCAGAGTAGATAATGCATATTGTCAACAATGAAGAAGAAGATCAGACTTTACTAAACAACAAAACCAGCCATTGATATTTCTTTCGAAGCAAGAGAAATGATAAACCGAGAGAACCAGTGACTTACACCCGAGTTTTTCTTCAGCTCCTGCGTGGGAGAGAAGAGTCCCGGTTTCTAACCAGTGCATAAAACCAAGCTGCGAGACCACAGTCTGTGTTTCACTTCTCCAGTCACCATGGTACCTAAAGCACGAAACCCAACTTCTATATCACAAAATCCAAGCAGATTTTGATCAAAACACACCCTAAACCCTGTCTGGATATTGCATTAGTGTAATAAATATACCTGTAATATTGCCCATGGCAATCATGGAGAATTTCAGAAAGCTTACCGTAAAGCTCCTTCAAAACACCAATTCTTTCTTTTGCTTTCTCTACAACCTCTGAATTCCATATGTCATCAGAAAGACTAGTCTCGTTAGTTGCTATCGCATGGTACAAGGAATTCATCAAAGTATATTTACTTTCAAGTTTAGTTGCTCTCTCTTCAGACAGAGCTCGATTACTGATAAACTAACTCAGAAAGAAGAAACATCAAAGTTTCTATTATCCAAGCAAGTACAGCCATTTCTTCACTGCGTGAACTGACAAAAAGACACGAAAAGGTCAGAATCTAAAGACCCTTCGGACAAAAACTTGTCTTTACCAGGAACGGGTCGCGATTGGTGAACGAGGAGCAAGTTAGCCTGAATAAGCCTTGTCGCTGACTCAATCTCCATAACCACAGCTCGAATCCTCTCTCGCAAGCTCGCAGATCCTTCCAGCTGAACCCTAAACTCCTCGAACTGCTTCTCCAGCGAAGGAGAAGACGGCGGTGGAACCTGACCGTCACCTCCCGCCATCGAAAATGGAGAAGATGACAAACAGAGAGCGGCGGAGAGGGAAGGAAACCCCGGGTGTCTCCGGAGTAGACTGGAATTCCGAAGAATGTCGCCGGCGAAGAGAGGGGGAATGCGGAGAATCGTAGGGGAAAGGCAGCGGTTAGGGTTTATCAAACGAGAGAAGGCAAAACGCCGATTTCATATTGGCGCCGTTTCAACAGTGGATTTTTTATTGACCACCAAAATGCGAATTATTTCATTCCCTAGCAAATTTTATTTTGCCATATACTAATTAATTATATATATATATATATATTATTTTCCAGTAATAATATGTAGTAACCAGTAGTGACGCATTTTCATAAATAAATGTTCATTTTTATTTTGTTGATGATGATGAGTGTAAAAAATGAAAAAAAAAATAGATTTAATATTGATATTTTTATATACTGCAAATCGATATCTTTCACATTTTTTGTGAAAATCAAAAACTAAGAATTAAAAAAAAAGTACAAAAAATTGGAAAAAAAGAAGTAAAGATAATTCTTTAAAAATTAAAAAAAATGTATTTATACAAACATTATTATGATAATAGAACATTTTGTGGCCATAGGTCCAACCAATCCAAGACACCTTATATTTATTTTCTCCTAATAAAGAAAACCCTTGATTTTGGTTCCACTGTATATCAAAGAACCAGATTTAGTTGACATCAGCACAGAACTAAAAGTAATTAAGGAAAAAATATTAGAAAAATTACATAATTTAACAGATTAACATAATTAAGATATAACATAAGTTAACAGCTTCTTTACATGTCCCATAATCTCAGATCCTAATCTAGAATCTAAAAAAAACTACGACATATATAAATATTAAAACAAAATGCAGAATAAAAAATTAAAAGAACCCTAGTCTTGTTGGTGGTGGCGGCGGCGTTGATGATCCTCCGCCGCCGTGTCCC